TGATATGCCTAATTGGCCCAACCCAATGGGCCTACAAATTATTTACCTACTGGGCCACGAGCCCAATATCGAAGACTACTATCACCGAGGCCCAATCACCTTCAAGCAAGGTTTGGGCCCGACAATCTCAACTAAGCTATAGATACACATTTGAACTCATTCCATAAGGTACGTCCAATTAACTGAGCAATACTACAATACGTATTATCTGGACTATTTCCATGATCAGCACGTCTGAGGCCGGTGCTATAGAGGGATTTCCGCCGGATCAACCCCCGGCGTAGTTCACGTGTGTTCATTTCGCAGGTACCTCAGGATCATCAAGTTGTCAAGCTACCGATCCGCTTTGCTCTCCCAATACATTTACTACACTACCCCAGGTGAGCTATATTTTAGCATCATGATATGCCTAATTGACAATTTCTGTACCTACTGGGCTACGAGCCCAATATCGAAGACTAATATCACTGAGGCCCAAACACCTTCAAGTAAGGCTTGGGCCCAACAAAACAAACCCAACCCAATAAACGACATATAAATAGAGGTTTTACTCATTTTATTAAGGTACGTCCTATTAACTGAGCAATACAAAAACGCGTATTCTCTGGACTATTTCTATGATCAGGCACGAGCCATTCTAATATCGAGGGGTTTCCGCCGGATCAACCCCCGGCGTAGTTCACGTGTGTTCATTTCGCAGGTACCTCAGGATCATCAAGTTGTCAAGCTACCGATCCGCTTTGCTCTCCCAATACATTTTCTACACTACCCTAGGTGAGCTATATTTTAGCATCATCAAGAAGAAATAGGTAAATCACAAATGTCATAGTTTATGCGGTGGACGAGGTTTGATAGCAGCTCATGCTGATTCATTTTATTTTTCAATTTTTTTTATTTTATTATATTTAATTATTTAATTATTTTATATTATATATTTTATTTTTGGGGAAACAAAAACTAAAAGTGTGTCTAAGTTCTCTTCATGTAACCCCCCCCTTCAGATTTCCTCTTCCCCGAACCATCTTTCTCTCTCTACAATTAATTCTCTCACCTCCATTGTCAAAAACAAAAACAGAAATTAAAAATTAAAATAAAGAACCAATTTTTTTTCCTCACTTGCTTCGCTCCTCGTTTCAAAATTCCACCTGCTTTGCGTACATAGAAGTTTTCAGTTTCCTATTGTGTGTGTGTGTGAAAAAACTCAGTCTTTCTCTCTCTTAAACAAACTCTATATCTCGAAATCCGCGCTGATTATTCGAGAGAAAATTCTTCCTTTTACAAATTAAGTCTAAATACAGATGCATTTGCATCTTCAAGGTGTGAACCGGCGGTTTAGATTGGGGCAATAGAAACAGCTTAGGATTAATTTCGATTCTCCTCCACTGGTCGATTATTTTTTAATTTTTTAATTTTTTAATTTTTTAATTTTAATTTTGGGAAATTTGTTTATATGATGGGTTTATCATTGGGGTTCGATCAGTGGTTTAGGTATTTGTACTGGTCGATGTTATCAATGCACTTTCAGATTCGCAGTTGAAGAAGCAAAATTTTCCCTGCATGAAATGCAGAGATAAAGATCTGAAGATTAGAGACTCTGCATTTCTTCTGGTAATTATTCTTAATTTTTCATTTTAATTTTAATTTTAATTTTAATTTTTGGGAATTTGTATTAATTCAGTTGTTTTTTTTTTGGGTTTTAATCATGGCCGTTGATTGATACTGTAGTGCTGAATCCAGTCTAGTAATGGAAACCCTTAATATTATGATCAGTTTATTACAGATACTATGATATTTAAACACAGTCCAAATTTTCTTTCTTTCTTTTGGATAGATGGTGGATCAGATCCTTAATATCTTAAGTATGGGTATTGTTTCTTGCACACCGTTATATGCTTTCTTATCTTCGTATTATAATATGCCTATGCATTGCAAATGAGAATCGAATTTATCTTTCATTTGCTGATCTATGTAGTTTCGTTTGATTGAATATTAGGAATCGATGGGGTCTGTCTGTAAAGCCGTGAATTGAGCTGCATTTTTCGGAGAAAAAAACCGAAAGTTAAATAGTCGAATTCAAGATTCATGTATTATTGGTCGCAATGTCGAAACAGTCGCTGATTTTCTTGCTAACTCTCTCCTTCCTTCTCTCCAAACCAACTGCCGAAACCGATTTTCGATGCAACTGTGAAGACGAAAGCTACTTCTTTAGCATCGAAACAATTCTCGAGTGCCAACGCATCAGCGATTTCTTGATCGCGGTTGCTTACTTCTCAATCCCGATTGAGCTCCTATACTTCGTAAGCTGTTCAAACATCCCTTTCAAATGGGTGCTTTTCCAATTCATAGCTTTCATAGTCCTCTGTGGTATGACTCATCTTCTCAATGGGTGGACTTACGGGCCCCACTCATTCCAGCTCATGCTTGCCCTAACGGTCTTCAAGTTTTTAACCGCACTCGTTTCTTTTGCCACCGCCATAACCCTCATAACCCTAATACCATTATTGCTCAAAGTCAAAGTGAGGGAGTTCATGCTGCAGAAGAAGACATGGGATCTTGATCGAGAAGTTGGCTTAATCAAGAAACAAGAAGAAGCGGGGTGGCACGTACGTATGCTTACGCAAGAGATACGTAAGTCACTCGACCGCCACACGATATTAGATACAACCCTAGTCGAGCTCTCGAAGGCGCTCGATTTGCAGAACTGCGCTATTTGGATGCCGAACACTTCGAAAACGGAGATGAACCTCACCCACGAACTGAAAGGGAGGAGCTTCTCTAAAGCCGCCGCCACACCGCCAATCTCCACCGGTGACCCCGCCGTGAGGGAGGTTAAAGGAAGCGACGGGGCCAAAATACTCAACCCCGATTCGGCACTTTCTGTAATCAGCGGTGGCGGTGGGGCCCACGAGCCGCCGGGGGCGGTGGCGGCTATCCGGATGCCGATGCTTAGGGTTTCGAATTTCAAGGGCGGCACACCGGAAATGCTTCCGGCTTGCTACGCGATTCTTGTATTAGTCCTTCCGAGCGAGCAAGATCGGTCTTGGAGCAATCAAGAACTCGAGATTGTGGAGGTGGTGGCCGACCAGGTGGCGGTGGCTCTCTCGCACGCTTCGGTGCTCGAAGAATCTCAGCTCATGAGGGATAAATTGGTCGAGCAAAATCGAGCTTTACAACAAGCTAAACAAGATGCTTTAATGGCGAGCCAGGCAAGAAATGCTTTTCAAATGGTGATGAGTAACGGGCTTAGAAGGCCCATGCACTCGATTATGGGCTTGCTCTCGGTCATGCAGGACGAGAAATTGAGCACCGAGCAAAGGCTTCTTTGCGACACCATGGTTAGGACAAGTAATGTTCTTTCAACCTTAATAACCGACATAATGGATACTTCGGGAAAGGACAACGGAAGATTCTCTTTAGAGATGAGGTACTTTGAACTGCATTCAATGATTAAAGAAGCCGCTTGTCTCTCGAAATGTCTGTGTTCTTACAAGGGGTACAGTTTTGTAATCGAGGCTGAAAAGTCTCTGCCGAATCATGTCATGGGAGACGAAAGAAGGGTCTTTTTGGTCATTTTACATATGGTAAGGAGTCTTTTGAATGGAAGCAAAGGAGCGGGTTGCCTTACTTTACGAGTCTATTCGGCTGGTGGAGGGCAAGGATCCAACGAGCAAAGATGGGGCCATTGGAGGTCAAATTCGTCCGACGGGTATGTTTATATCCGGTTCGAAATCGGGATTCGCCATATTGATTCTCCGGAAGAGAATATTGTTCCTGTGATTCCGTACGGTGGGAATAGATACTACGGTACGGTAGAGGAGAATATGAGCTTTAGTGCATGCAAGAAATTAGTTCAGGTATAATTTTTTTGTTTTTTCGTCCGTTTATGAAAATTTTGATTTGGGTTGTAATGATTTTTTTTTGCAGTTAATGCAAGGGGATATATGGGTGGTGTCGAATCCTGAAGGTTTCGATAAAAGCATGGCCCTTGTTTTACGGTTTCACGTCCGTCCAATCGCGGGGCCCGATATTTCTGACCCATCGGACCGAGTCCATTCGAATTCCCTCTTTAGAGGGTTGAAAGTTCTTTTGGCGGATCCCGATGATGTGAATAGGGCTGTCACACGGAAGCTTCTGGAGAAACTCGGTTGTGTTGTTTATGCAGTTTCGAGTGGGTACGAGTGTGTTAGTGCACTCGAATCGAACTTTTCCGCCACCTGTCAAATCGTGATTCTTGATCTTAACTTGCCTGATTTGGACGGCTACGACGTAACGACAAGGATTAGGAAATTTAGGAGCAGGAATTGGCCGTTGATCGTTGCTTTGACTGCGAACGATGATGGAGAAACGAGGGACAAGTGTGCGAAAATCGGGATGAATGGACTTATTCAAAAACCGGGGACTTTTCGGGAAATTTCGGACGAGCTTAGAAGGATTTTGATGCAGGCTAATAGAATCTTGGCTTGATTATTGATGTTTTTGGTGTTTCTTTTTTTCTTTTTAGCAATTAAAATGTTTTTATGGCAGGAATTTTAATTGGTATAAATAGCTCCCCTGATACAAGAATTAATGATCAAAAAATGGTATAGAAAATTCATCTTCTTTCATTTATGTGGTTTATATTTTTGTTAGGATTTATTTTCGTTTTATTTAATATTTATGATTAAATAAATTTTTGTGTTCGGCGAAGAATACTAAGTTGATTAAACTAAAATTTCGAAATTTGTTTGGGAATTAGGATTCATTTTATTTAATATTTTTGAGAAAAATGCAAAATTGAAAAATCAATATGAAGATAGATGCATACACTCAATGTGCTATAACTGTTATAGATGCTACATATGATGAAATACATCGAACGTGAGCTGGTGTTACATAGATATGACCTAATTCAAAGAAAATAACGATTATTCTCTTTTTTTATGAAAATAAAAACATTACTTTTAAATATATTTTTTGGAGTTTTATTTCATAATAAACCAACTTGAGAATTGAGAGGGGGGTTAGATACTATGAATCCATTGCAACAATTTTATTATATTCTTGATTTTAACCTTTTGCTTTCTTGTATGGGTTGAAGAGATTGAGGCCAAGGGCTCTGCATTTGATTTTTTTAATTATAAATGATCATATAAAATTAAATATATTTAACAATGCCATATTCTATTTGAAAATTGGTAAGATTTATGTGCAAGTTGGCTTAAAAAGTTGAAAATTCTCATTCAAAAATTGCAGGTTTACCTATATTATAGGACTTTTTTGTCGGCTTAAATTAATAGATTAATGATTTTTATGAAGATGGATCTTGATCTACATGCAACTATCTTATACTTTAAGTTATTGTTTAGGTGATTAGATAAACTATAATTATTTAAATAATTTGGTCTTATTACCTAATTGGATAATTTTTCAAGCCGGCCGGTCTATAATTTTTTTTTTATTCTTTTGCGGTAATGAAAAAAACCGCAATCAGCCGTATATGTGTACTGGATAAATCTGCACTATCGTATAATAGATACTATGCTATAACTATGTGTGACAAATTCAATCTAGCAACCATTATAAAAGGAATTCGAACCTGAGTCAATTGACGCAAGTTCACTTGCTTGTTTAGTATTTTTTAATACAAATCAAATAAAAAATTATTGGGATGGGGCCAAAATTTGAACACTAGATCTTGAGTGGTAAGAGGGTTGGTGTATCACTTGGTCTAATTATATATGCAATTAAGTTATCATTAAAACTGTACAATTTAATCTTAACAATCAAACAAACCTAAATAAATTAATGTAGACGATCTTTATTGGAGAAAGTTCTTTATGCTTTATTTTTAAATTTGCATTATTAAGTGGATGTATATGCATGGCATCATGTGCACCCTATTGAACTCTTTATTATATACAAGTTAATCTAACCTGTCACATGTGATCAATGAAATGAATAAATAAAATAAATAAATAACCAAAAATAAAAATAAAAAATTATGTGACAACTTTATTTCACTTGCATCATGACCATGACCTAAGACCTAGGTCTTAGAATTCATAAATTAATTAGAAATAGGCCTCAAGTTATAATTCTCTATATATATGTTGGTGGTGCCTACAGATTAAATATTCTTCATTACAGTAATAAGGGGCCATGGCCCCCTAACATTTGTCATAATTCCTACATTTTTGTATAAAAAAGATATATAATTTATTTATTTTAAATACTATGAAAACACATCATGTGTAGTGCGCGTAATTTCATAAATGCATATTATACGCTAGCTTGGCATAAGTACACTTAGTGATATTAAAATAGAATATAAAATAATATTTAATTAGTAAATAATTCAAATTGGAGTCAACGGATCTAGATGATAAGATGATAAGATTATATGAGGATTGAATAATTAATCCACTCTTGAAACCTGGATTCAGTCAACTCTACGCCCTTTCGTAAAATGGATATGTTTTTTCTTACATAGAATCTTGATTAATGATTTCCGCCCCGTCGTCGGAAAGTTCACTACACGTCGGATTTAGGGTTGGGGAATTGAAGTGGTCGGGATATGAAAAGTATGAGAGAGTTTAAGAAGACAGTATACGATTTTATCTTCTTTCCTTATCTTTGGATAGAAGATATCTCCGAATAATACACCTCCGATGACTCATCTCGCGATCACCACCTATTACGCGCTTTCGTCTTTACCTGACGAACAAGTTAGGTCTTAGCTACCTCCCTCTCTAACAAACTTCCCCAGCGCATATACGATGCTTCTTGGGCCTTCAGCCCGATCTATTTGTTTGGGCTCCCATTTTTATCATTCGTTGGGCCTATCTTTAGGGAGTTCGGCCCAAGCTTGCCAAATTGACCCTCATCAAGAACCATTTTTAAATTAAGCAGGGATTCGGATTCCGGATTTACAAAAATATTTTCGATTGCTTTTAAGTTTTTCAGAGGAGAAGAATCGATTTTCAATTCCGATTTCAGAAATTGGAAATTCATTACAATTTCAGAATTTTCGAAGTTTTTCTTTTTTGTAGAGTTACCTATAGACCACAATTATAGAAAGGATTTTCATCATATATGGTGGTGTGCTTCGAGTGACTTGAAGGTATAAATTAGACCCGGCCCAATTATACCTTTTTGGGCTGAAAATTATTTTACGAGCCTCAAAATCTAATTGAGGTTTAACCCGGCTAAGTGTATGAAGCTCATTGGGCCTCTACAGATTTTCTTATGATCAAATCTAATTTAATTTTACCACATAATACAAGTTATCATAGTTTCTTTGTTATTAAAGAATCAAGAGGGCGATGTTTATAATTATGTATGTCTTTACAATTTTGGTTAATTAACTTCTCCAACAAGCACCAGTGGTCTAGTGGTAGAATAGTACCCTGCCACGGTACAGACCCGGGTTCGATTCCCGGCTGGTGCAGTTTATTAGTATTATTATTTTTAATGTTATAGCCTTTTTGTTCGTTCTATTTTCTTTTTTGTTGGTTTTAATGTATATATAACTTTATTTGATAAACTTTAATGCAACAAAAAATCTTGCAAATATATTTCAAAAGAGAAATTGGAAATAAAAATCGTTAAATCTTATTTTCTTGTTAATTAAACGCTGTTGATGACTATGCAATTAGAAATATATCTAACACCATTAAATAAAGATCCAAGGACCACGCGCCATGGTTTTGTTAATTGACTATTAAGGCTTAATGACAATGGTTGGATTTGGACAATTAAGTGAATTAATAATAATTAGGTCAAGGGTTATTATGGTCAATTTGGATAATACAAAGTGACATGTACTCCACGATAAAGACATGGTACCACCATTAACATGGATTTGAAAGAAAAAGACAGAAAATATTTCTCGGCCGTTGTGTTTTATTTTTTTTGGAGAACTAGTCTATATATATATTATATAGTCCCCCACCACATAAATACATTATTATAATATTCTAAACTAGTCCCCACAAAATTAAAATATTATAATTTCGACACAATAATTGTAGTTTTCGGCGTTAATGGGTGGTCTATATTTCATTAATTTAGAGGTCAAGTGGATTCTCTTTCAAGGTGATGTGCACTTTTGCTCTCTCTCTCTCTCTCTCTCTCTCTAATGAAATATGTAGTTAAAAGGATAGTATATTGTGCTCGTCAAACAAATTTGATCATATCAAATAATTAATCTTGTTCTCCGATTTTATTGTTGGAACTAAGTTTCAATATGATTTTTCCACCTGAAATGATATTTACAGAGTGGAAATTTATAGGTCTACAAGTAATTTTAATATGGGTAAATTACAACCACCCTTGGGGTATGGTTAAATTACAAAAACTCCCCTCTTGTTTGGGTAATTACAACCACCACCTCAACTATAAATCTTCTTACACGTCCACCCTTGCGGTTTTAAATTTAGTGGAATCTTCGAGAGTATATGGAATATTATCACTTTCGCACCCGTTATCCCATTCGAACTCCACATTTTGAAGCAAGATGATCATAATATGTGTTTTTTGGCTTGTATATACCAGATTGTTGTGCATCAGAAACTGTATTTTTACACAAAACAAGTACAAATTAGAGCACATTCCACGAAATCTAGATGATTATGTTGAATTTGACACCATAAGGATGGAGATGTAAGAAGAAATCATAATTGAGGGGTAGATGTAATTATCAGAACAAGATGGAGTTTTTCGTAAATTGACCATACCTCAGGGGTGGTTGTAATTTACCCCTTTAATATTTATTAATTTTTCATATTTCAAAATTTTCTCAAACCTTCTCGATCAAAAGTATCTTTCGACCCTATTTTTTTTTAACTAATCCCATAATAAATTTCAGGTAAACGCTATATGTTTACGATTATAGAATTATGTGTATCTCAAATAAAAAACGAGTTGTGCTAGTTTCGTGTTGTTCAACACGGAACTCGATTTTCAGTTTCTCTGTGTTATTTTAATTCAATGTTGTTTAATACGAAATCTAGAATGACAATTAGGGATTTAGTGTTGACCAACACGGAATAACCAATTTCTTTTCTTTTGAAATAAATGAAGAATTTACCTGAAAATCAGGATAATCGTCGTCCGAAAATTTTACCTCAAAATCATGTTAGAAATTGCTCTACAAACCTATAAAAAAAATCCCTTTTACAATTATCAAGACCCTTTTTCCACTCAATTGATTTGTGTGATATGCAGCTTTGATTAGTTGGCTATTTAGTGTTTCAAAGGTAAAAAAAAAGTGGGGTTTAATTTGCATAATATTAAATAATATTGTGCAAGTGGTGTGCCAACATTTGGAAAGCCAAATAAATGTGAACAAGAGAATCAAATTTTGCGTAATTTGGCGTTAAGCGAATGTTAATCTAATAGCAAAAAACTAGTAATTATTGACCCTAAAGGGCCCATCTAATTGGACTTTAGTGGTGGGATATTATCCCAAGTTGTTAATTAATTAGCATTTTTTAATTAAGGCTAATTAGCAATTACACGTGAATTCATGTGAACCTGGTCCCCCGTGTCACCTTTAATAATAATTTTTTTTTTTACATATTTCTCTTCGATTTAATCTATAAACTAATTAAGGAACTACAATTTTAGAGGATGTTTGGCTAAACTTACAAGCTGTTTAACATCTTATGGTTTCTCCAAAAGAACTCCATTCGTTTATAATTATTCAGTTTTGCACAAATATTAAGAATGTGAATAAATGTGTCTTAATTTTAAGAAAATACCTTAAAAAGACTAAAATAACCTTAATCATTTAATGATCTAATAACAAAGATTTAATGATGTGATAAGAGAAAGTTAATACTTACAGTTGAATTAATAGTTGATGTTAAATTAAAAAAAAAAATGCATTAAATGCAGTATTGAAAATCTAAAGTCACATATCGAAAGAAAAATATATTTATATGTATGAATGAAAATGGCTTAACTTTTCCACTTGACAAATATAAATAAAAATGATGGAGAATTGAGAAACATAAACAGATCCATTATAGGTTAAAAAATGGGAAGTTCAATAATAGAATGACCTCATCAAGTACAATGTTACCTAATTTAGTAAAACAATAAACTGCTTATTAAGCATAAATTCATTTATTTTAATTTTTTTAAGCACGAATACAATTAAAAAAACACTTCCCCTTTCCAATGATCATCACAAGAAAAACAAAATACATAAAAATAAAAAATGCTTGTCCGAATTAGTGGTTTATATATCTTAGCTATCATAATGCCGTAAAGGGAATAAATAAATAAGGGTAAATTACACCCACACCCCTGAGATATGGTTAAATAACTGTAAGGTCCCTGTGGTATCGATAATTACTCACCCCCTTGAAAGGTAGTTAAAAACTTTAACGGGATAATGCATTGATACATTATTCCGATAGGGTTCTAATGGACTATTACTTTTAGCTAATTGTGGAGATAACATAGAGTTATGGGGAGTTATGGGGTGACATGGCTCCCCCAATATTTTTTAAATCACCCATAACTCTTTGTTGTCTTCACCACTTTCTGAAACCAATATATAGTCCATTAGAACCCTATCAGAATAATGTATCAAATGCATTATCCCGTTAGAGTTTTTAACTACCTTTCAGGGGGGTGAGTGTAATTATTGATACCACAGGGACCTTACAGTTATTTAAGCATACCTCAGGGATGTGGGTGTAATTTACCCAATAAATAAATAAACAAATAAACAATTTCCCTTTTGGTCATTGAAATTTAGCAAACTTTTTTTCACGTTCATTTCGGTTTGTTCCATGCTACATCATGAAATATACTTAGATATATTTTTATCATTTATTCACACAAAAATAATCACAGCTATTCTGATATGTGTAGATCAAAGGTATAAAAATTACCTAATATATATTTCATCGAGTGTAACTTAGTTTTGATCAGTCATTACACCATCGTTGTAACCTAAAATTAATCTTTGATACATAACAGTACAATTGAATTTTAAGACATATGTACGTTTGTTTCTATATACATTTTACACACATCCACATATATACGTGTGTAGATCAAAGACGCAAAATAATCCGATGAAGTTTATCGAATGCAGATAGAAATAGATGTATCGTTAAGACCGAAAGACCACAATAATTAAGAGAAAATGAATGCGAAACTTAGCATTATTTAGCTTCAATGGTGATTAAAAATTTAGAAAGAACAAGGTTAATATGGAAATCATGACTAATAGTAATGCATTCAATTTGTTTAAAAACATTCAAGCTTATTTAAAGAGAAGAAATATCCAAGCATCACAATTGCTTATAATTTCATCAATCTTGAAATTATTTAGAGTATATGTATCATATAATAATATTCAATTGATTATTAATAATACATATTAATTAGTAACAATTTCTACATTATTAACACTGGACTAGGAATTAAAAAGAAAGACCATATTTTGTTATAAATTATATTTTAATTTTTTGTTATAAATTATTGGGAAACATAGAAATATTTAAAGCAATTCCAAAATTAATTAATGTTATATTATTGGAAACTGCTGCAGATCAGAAGAAAATAAAAGGAGAAACAGAAGCAGCTCACTTAATATACATAGAAATCCAAATAAAATGGTTTTCCCCTCTACACACATAAATTACACATACAAACAACATAAAACTGATTATTAATATTCTTATCTGAATTATTAATATTAATAATAATTTATTAATATTATTTAATTATTTTACCTTAGTATGAAGGCCTTGGATGTGACCAATTAGCATAAGCATCATGATTTAAGTACCTCATTT